AGTGCCGGTGCAGGCCTCAAGGATGGCGTCTCCGGCCGCTCTGAGACGGCGGGCCCGGTGTCCTCGGACACAGTCTTGGATCGTCTCTCGGCACGTCTTCAGGCAAAGATGTTGACAGCCGAGACATGGTTGGAGGGGGAAGACTTGATGGATGAGGATATTGAGGTCGCCGCGCAACCCGCTGGCGAGGAGGCAGAGGAGGATGATAACAATCAACAGCAGACGGTATTTGGACTTGTTTCCACGTCTGCCGTTCTGCTGACTCCGCGCCAGCGTCTTCTCACCAGCCTCACTACACCTTGGCAGGAATTTGAGACCGCTGGAGAAATGGGAGAAAAAGATCTTACTCCGACCTCCGTAAGTGTTATCCGTTGATCCGTTTATATGTTCGCCGAAAGTTAGCTGTCTTCGGCCGCAGATGACCGAAGTAAGTGATGGAGGAGGAGATTAGGAGGCATAAGACAAAAACATATGAGAGCTTTTCAATCTCCCACGCTCTTTGTTATGACGTGGCGTTCAACCGAAATCAGTGGCGAGCCTACTGTCATGATTTGTGCGTTAACTCGGCGACCTCACACTCCCCTGCCATCCGGTCTGATGAAATTCGTTGGAAAGAATCTGCCTTCAACGTTCATTGATGAACGCGCACGGTTAACTTTTGCTGACCGAAAATAACAGGTAGCATGTGCGAGAGTAGTTCGGTGCTCCCATTTGTCTTTAATAAAAGGATGCAACGTTTGTTTGGAGACTGATGCGCTCAGATAAATAAACTGCGATCGCATGAACTTTTCATGTCACATTTTACCGTTTGCTTTTGGCTACTGTCTATGTTGCCGCTCATTCAATGCCGATCGTCATACTCCCATAATTGGTGACGGAACAGTGCTTTTTAAGGGGAAATGACCCTATGCCAATCTCGCTAAGATAGCTTTGTGTGGATGTAAGCACTCATCTAGGAGTATTTGGTTTCGGATTGTTTCAGGAAGTTGGAATGGGATCCTCGTGTGCAGCTATAAGCACTCATTAAGCTTGGTAAAGTGTTGTGCCTCAGCTTGTCTCGAAATGGCTGATCCAGGTTCAATTTCCTTCTCATTCTGACCTAATATTGGAGTACGGT